GGAGAGACAGTCCTGGTTACAGAAAAAAATGCATGTTTTCCAAGTTTTTTTTGGGTTTTTTTAGTAACAAAGTCTGCACAATTAAAATAAATAAATCTAATGGCAACTTTTCAGACAAGTATTACAACTCTTGCAATAAAGACTTGGTGGTGGTATGCTCCTATCGTATAGGATATTGTGTTGTTTGTAGGGGATGTTCTATTCCCTAAAAAACTGCAACCTATGTGATGTGGTAATTGTGCTTATTCAAATTGCAATTTTGATTTGATCAAGATATTGTGCAGCTCTAGTTAATAACGGCAGAAAAACAATATGAATACCAATTATATCGTAAAAAGCTGAACTTTGAGGCGAATGTCATTTGAAAATACTCCACTGGTCTACACAGTTTGAGAGTACTTTAGAAGAGTGGCTTTGTTCCATTTTACTTTGTAAATGGAAATGTATCATTTTATCAGTTATGCTTTTGTGGGGGTCGTTTGAGCACAGAAGATGGGTTTGGCTTTGTGCACAAGGACATGTTACTGGGTCATGTGACTGTTCAGTTCTGTCTGGAAAATGTCCTCTTTTCACCTTGGCTGGAATTAAAATTTAGGCAAAGCAAAGTGTGAACAATGAAAATAAATTAAAAATGAAGAATGTCAGTTGCACTTAGATGTGGGTGTTAACTAAAATTATACAAATATTCTTTTTTTTTTTTCATTTATCCAAAAGATATCTGTAATTTGTGCAAAATGTATTTTTAAATTTTGTGCTCGATGTTCGCATATTGCACAAAATGTGGCTGCAAATGTATATTTCTGTACATCTGTGGTTCAATTTCCAGTTCAAATCCTTTATTTATATATTTTTTTTAAATAAAATTTTTGCATCCTTTTAAAAACATTTTGTACAAATGATACGCTTAATATTAAAACTTATCTACTTGTCAGTATTTTTCACTTCTGTGTAGCTGTTTGAATGCTTTGGTTTGGTTTGTCCTTGAGATAAGCATTTGGTCAGTTGTACTATAGCAAACATTTTTTAATCTTAACAAAAGATATCATAACATGCTTATGTGCAACTTGAGTTACTTACTTAGTAGCAGTTATTTCTTCCATATCCAGTATACCAGTGCTTATACAACAGACAATTTCTCTCACTTGACTTCTTGACTTGATCTTTTCTGGCATCCATCTTGTGACTAAAGTGTATGTAACGGAAGTCGCCATTACTTGTGGTCATTGGTTCATGTGGTAGATATGAAGCATGCTAGTTAATGAGCATGTTTTCTTGGCTTTAGATTCACATAAATGTCCATACACCAATGTCTGTGCAAAGCCATCACTTCTCACATCGTAATTACCAGGCTGCAGCTGCCTGGCTCTCAGTTCTATTAACAGTGAAAGCTGACAAGAGGTGCAATAGATTATGTGTAAACAACTTGAGTCTTTTACCTTTTAGGGTCAATCAACAAACTTTACTTTTTATTTTATTCAGAAGTGCTATATTACACAAAATGGACTCTTGTGAGCATTAAACCATGTTATAATAATGTTACCTCATCATTGTTTCCCTGGAGTTAGGATTTGTTTCATTCACACATGTTTGAGTAACACTTTATTATTAGTCTGGCTACATCTCCAAAGCTCAAAATGCTCTGTTCCACCTTGTGATGTCACGTAGTGCTTCAAGTCAAGTTCAAGTTACCAGCTACCTTTTACCTTTAGTTCAGTAGAGACTGAAATGATTCAGTTGATTCTAGTGAAGGTGTAATTAGTTTAAGGGGCACTGTTTTATCACATGACATCACAAGGTGGAACTCAGTTTTCAGCAGCCTAAACATGCAGGGTCTGTGTGTTAAACATGTGTGAATGAAACAAAAACTCCAGGTAGGTTTGTGATGAGGAAACAAAATGATCAGAAAACAGAATATGAGCCCTTTAAATTGTTGAGTGCCATTAAAATTATTTATTTCATGAACATTGTGGCTAAAGATAGTGAATTTTGCCAGCTTAGTTACTGACCTATATTTATATTATATTCTTCAATATATTATATTTATATGCATAAAAATGGCTACATTATTGGCATTTCACAAAATATATTAAATTAGACTGTAACCCTGACGATGTAAAAGAAATACAAGGGGTGGTAGAAGCAAAGTATCTTACAATAAAAAATAAAAAAAATCTCCAACACTGCATTTTTACATATTAAGCGCATATAAAGTCTTCATCCGATTTTCTCTCTCAGTGCTTTGTCTCACACCCTAGTGCTGCACATTTCTATAAGCAGAAACTACAGTAGGAGAAATTCAAAGGGGAGCTCCACCGTCTCCAATGAGGTTCAGTAGTACCAAAATGGTGAGAAAGCAGTATAGTGTATATTGTCCTATTTGCATGAGCAGACAGAAGGTTAATAATACTGTGCCTGCTGTGACAAAGGAGAAACAGCAGAGAGGGGCAGGTAGGAGGGATGGAAAGTGCTGATCCTAGACTTCTGCCTCCGGAGAATCCATCTAAGACACGAGGGAGGAGCATGGAAGTAATTAGAGGCCTGGATATATGAAGGTTTCTGCACGGCACCACCTCCTCTTTTTACTGCATAACTCTAATTTCCCAGAATGCACAACAGAATGAGAAACAAGCAGTAAACAGTGGCCAAAAAGCAGCGGGATGAGGTGTTGACAGAAAAATAGTGAAAGGGCAGCCAGAAATGGTCTTAAGTCAGTGCAGTTTTGGTGCTGAATCCCAGGCTGTTTAAGGGTAATAAAAGTTTTTTGAGCTTAAAGGTGCACTACACAGCTTTTCTGGTGTAGGGTCCCCTACCTGCTTGTCTCCATCGTGATGATAATTAATTTCCCTGGAATGGGTGTTTTTATTGCTCAATAATACAGTAATTCCTTCTGTGAAAAGGCACAACTCTCCACAGATCTGAATTGTAATGTAACATAGTGCTGTGACCTGCTTGTCTCCCTCATAATAGATACATTTAATCTATACTGTGGAACATTTTAAGCAATAACATTTCCATGGAGACAAACAGGTGGCAAACCCTCCACTCCACTGTGTGGCCATATCAGTTTGTCAAAGCCTGATCCCGTCAGATCTCGTAAACTAAGCAAGGCCTATTAGTACATGGATGGGAGACCGCTGGGAAAATCTGATGTCTGTTATTGTGTCCTTAGGCAAGGTACTTCACCCATATTGCCTAGTATGAAAGTGGTGTGTGTGAGTGATGGTGGTGGTTGGAGGGGCTGATGGCGCAGATTGGCAGTCATGCTCCGTGCCTGCCCCAAGGCAGCTGTGGCTACAACAGTAGCTTACCACTGAGCATGGGGTGAATGAACAATGTAAAACGTTTTTGTGACATAGGTCTGTGAAAAGCACTATATAAAATGAAAACTTAAAACTTACTTAATGTTAGATACAATTATATAATATAGATATAATAAAAATACAAGTAATATTTTGAAATAAAATAAATAAAATTATGCTGATAAAGATGTCAAAATCTCTAATCCTACCCCAAATCAAAACAACTAGCAAACCCTGGTGCAGATTCAGCCATCAAAATAATCTAGTTTTAGATGCATACTGCAAATGCCAAGTTGGGTCCAATATCCAATACATTTGCAGTGTGAAAATTAACACTTGATAATTCAGCGTACCACAGCCTCCACCTTACACGAGTGATAAAAATGAGAACAAAGCTCTTTAAAGAACTTTTTCAGAGTTTCTTGGAGTCCTGCATAGTGGCTGAAGAGAGCAGCTCCGAAATTACCAATGGGATTTGACTATCAACCGACTCCGAATCTTTACACTCCCAGGCATAATGAATCTTATTCTGGGCCCATCAGGTGTTTTTAGTCTCCTCGTCGCTATTCTAGGATCTCTAGCTCCTTATCTGTATCCTCGGATCATGCCAGCCTAGATATGAGTGCACTGGGAATACAGCATGAATACATTTCTTAATTCAAAGTTACAAAGCTCTTTCCTTTCCTACTAGCAATATCCGCATAGCAATTGTTCAGCTGTGACAGTATTTCATGATGGGAATAAACAAACATATGCAAAAAGTGACAATTAAACCCATACTTGCTGGAGCGTGAGGGGTTTGTGCATGTGCAAAAAAGGAAGGAAAAAAATTGACTAAAAATAGCGTGAGTTCCATGGCAACCCTAGATTTGTTGTTTGCTGTCACTGAGAGAAGAGAGAAGCGTGGGGACTTAAATAACACAAGGAGATTGGTTTGTGAAAGAGGCAAAGTCAAAACAAATTACTCTTTTTCTATCACTTTGGGGCCCGCCGGTAAAGCATCTGAAATAGCTTTGTGCCCAGGGACATTTTACCACTGAAATAATATGGCGGCAATATCCTCCGAGGCCCCTAAAAACAAAGGACAGAGATGGGATACCGAGGTTTAGTGTGGTTCACAGGTGGCGAGTGCTACAACACATAACTGTTTTTAGACATTTCATTTGCTCCACCATCCCTGTCGCTTCACATAAACATGATCCAGGAGACGTCCACTGAAGATCTATTGAAAAATGTAAAAATTACATCGGCCAACATCCAAATTAGCTCACACAAATGAAGAATGCATTTAAATGAGAGAGTTAGGCAGTGCTTTGGATTTGATACATTTCTTATCAGCAGCAGATTGTTGATTTCACAGTGTTTCAGGCAACAGACTGAGATCACTGCTTCACTCTATTTAGACTGACCTTCAGTGGACCTTTGTATTTCCCGTCTTTATAATGGCCCTTTAAACCCCAAAACAGGAGAGAGGAAAAATCAATTGAAACTTTTCAAAATAACATAAATCACGATGAGGGCGGTATTGGTAATCCCCATGACAAACCACACATACAGTTAATTACATAAAAATGCTATGTACAAAATAAAGTGGTAGACTCAAAGAGAAACATTAACATATTGGATATTAATATTGGTGTTGCTTAATATCCAAATGCTTTAAAAAGACACTAAACATGTTTGTTATTCATCCCACTTTATTCATCTTTATTATTTTTTGAGTTATTAAGGCATTTTTTTTATACTTTAAGTTGCACTGTGGAACATTTCTCATATCCAGAGTCAAGCAGGTGCCAGACCCCACACCAGAATAGTTTACATAGGGCACCTTGGAACTACTTAGTCATTTATAAATTTGTGTAATCAATTAGACTGGGTAATTATTACAATAAAATTGTAATTAAGATCATATAATAGTAATTATTTGCATCCTACACATTTTTATACAAAATGATTTTGTAAAATAGTTTGAGTTTAGCCGTGTTTCTGCCTGGCTCCCATCTTGGCGTTCATTAATTTGCATCTTGTGGGTGATTCATCAACCTATTCCACTTGGGTCTGCACCCTCATACAAGCACACACACACACACACACACAGACAGACACAGGCACAGGCACTCACACACTCACTCTCTTCTATGTCTGCAGTAGCGTCCGGTGCTGGTCTCTGGTGCTTCTGCTGTAATGCCCGTGCTAAAGGCCTGGACTGCAGCCAGGGCTTGTCAGACTGGAGATGGATGGACCCTCTACCAGGTGCCCACTGCTCCTCAGGCCAGCGCTGGACCAGACCATACTGGATTTGGCCTAGTTGAGATCCACTAAAGAGGCTAATGGGGAAACCAGGACAGGATAAGCTGTTAAACCAGCTGAATTGGTCCTGCACAAAATGAGCAGTTTGATTATAAAAACAAGGAAACCAAAATTGTAAGTTAGTCATGTGTTAAGACATAAGTGAGTGCATTAGGGGGCCATCTTTGTCTAAAGTAATAGATCAAGTGGTCTTCAAGGATCCATTTGAAATGTCAAATGAAACTAGAGTTATGTTGCTACAAAAATCAATCAATTAGCAATAGCCCTAAAAAATATTATAAGAGGTTGTAAACATGTCTTTAGTTGGGAGAACGCAGTGAGCTGCACAACAGAGCTAAATTTATTTTCAGGGCAATGGAGTATTAGCAGAGTAGTAGAAAAATAAGAGAATGCATTATATACTCCTCACAACCATTTGACAGTAAATTTTGGAAAAACATTATTTTATTCTGTAAACTAATGTCTAAAAACTTGTATCATTGGTTCTAAGTTGCTAATCACAGTAGCACAGTAAGACCCAACACAACACACTTTAACACTTTTTCACATTGAGATGCAATTACCCCTTTCTACTCAAAAATGATCACCCATTTTACTTTGGCACCTTGAATTCATTCGCTGAATAAGGATTAATTAATTGCAAATAAGCACTAAGCAGCAGATAAACTAAAGGTGCTTCTTGAGGAATACAAAAATGAGATCAATATTGCCTTCTCAAAATGCAACCGATACCAACAAATCCCCTTTCCTTTCTCTTCCAAGCAGAAACTGCAATGTAAAATCCAACTAGAAAGCTAAACCCCAATGGCTCATCTTTACATTATATACCATGTGAAATAAGGTTACTACAAAATACGTAACAATGTGGCTAATCTGGCAATATCTCTGACTATTTATATGTTTTTAAGTTCTACAAAAACAATCCTTGCATAAACAGAAAATGATGAAAACATGGTTGTCTTGTTAATGCAATGCCTTATGTTTGCCGTGGAAAAGTACATGCTGAAATAATTAGTACATTGTGAAGTAGGCATTTAAAAATACTGCAATCTTCTATATAATTAAAAGATAAATCAGTTAAAGTAATGTTAAGACCATATGTTTTACAAAAGAAATAGCAAGGTTATTGTAATTAAGTTGTGCATTACTTTTAAATTGAATCTTATATAATTTCCTAATAAATCTGAGAGCGGACAAAGCCATTTTAACTGAAGAAACAAAAGGCAATTTATAAGTCCAATGTTTGGGTGGAGACAATTGAAAGAGAACATTATCAGCAGTGAGGAGATCCAATCAGAGCAGATATCAGAGTGCACCGATTGCTTTATCTGAACCTAATGTGGTCATCACATTATTGTATTACAAAGACACGCCACAAGTGAGAGGAATACTGTGGACCTCCTTGATGCAAAACAATCATTCATTCTTATCCCTCTAAATGTAATTCAATTTTCAAATCAAAGGAAATGCGTATTTGACCAAACATTTATTTTTCAGTGATTCAGCGTCAACCAATACCAAGCAGGGATCAACTGTTTGTATTATTAACTCTATTATCATAACCCAATTAAATTAAAATTCAACTTGCCTAAAGCCAATGCGCTTATGACTTGTGCAATAAAAAAAATAAAATCCATTTTATAATAATGCAAATCTTTACAAAACAGCCTTTGAACCAGAAACAACTGGACCAAATACCACTATAATTGGTACAGGGTTGTTATCTTTCATCTGCAATAACAAAGCTTACATGTTTAATTTAAGGCACTTTTGTACTGAAAAAGGTGAGCCGAGAAGTAGATAATTAAATGACACACACTTGTAATGGAGAAGTCAAAGCAAGTCTCTTTGTTTAACATTCACTAGCATCAAGGAGGTGGGGCAGGCTACAAAGAAATACAAATTTACAAGTATAAAGCAATAACCACATCAACTCACTCTTTCTCAGCTTATACCACATTATATTCATTTATCAAGAACAAGTTATCTACACTTGATATTTAGTTACTTCGGCGTGCTTTTTATTTTAGTAATGTGTTATTATGCAAAACGAGGTTAAAATCTGTGAAACTTGTCAAACAGAAATCAAAACATCCCTTAAAGGTTCACTGTGTAACTCTTATGGTGGAGGGTCATGCTCATTTCTACCGATAAGTCATTTCTCTGCCCGAAATGTTCCACAGTAGGACATTAAACAGCTCTACCTTAAATTTATGCTGGTTTTATGGCTCAAAAATACCTAGAAAAACAGGCATTCTTACTGTGAGAGGTTGCATCTCCATAGATCTGACCTGTAACTTGGTCTGGTTTGGTCTCCATGAAGATAGAAAGGTTTAATGCAATACTGTGAAATATTCCAGACAAAGCAATAACTTTCCCATGGAGAAAGGCGTTTTATGGACCCTCCACTAGAAAAGTTACACAATGCACCTTTAAGTAGAAATCCACTTTCTCAAAGTCTTCACTACAATACATTAAAACCTTATTGTGACCTTCAATCCAAAGAAAACACCCAAAGTACCAACATCAGTGACAGAGACTGCAAGCACAAACTACAACAACATTCAAGAGCAATGGGGAAATAAGTGTAAGGATTAAGAGGGCCCAAAAGGAAAACAGGAACTAAATTCTGTTATCTGATTGGCTGATGGGGAAGTAGTAATAAAAAAGAACAGCCACAGTGACTTAAGTTAATCTTAGGCCATTTGAGAGAAAACAAAAACGGTCACTATCTAGATGTCTGTAGAGGCTGAGGCAATAAAAATATAAACAAGCCAAGTGAGACTGAGAGTACTTCCTAATTCTGACAAACAGAAGCATCCCTTAGTTCACTTGTTCTCACTGAATATTGTCAAACAAGAATAGAAATAAAAATAATGTTTTTATTTTTATTATCATCTCTCCGTCCTTACTAACAAGCTGTGTCTATGGACACCTTTCCTCCATGAATTATGAAAAGGTGTAACAGTCTATCTAGGATTTGAACATTTGGAGTAAATGCATTAATCAGTCAAAACATAGAATAAGATATCTTGATAATTCTTTCATTTAATTTGCTTGTTTACATTTCAAAAGTCTGAGAAAGACTTAAAGGGATAGTTCAGGATTTTTGACATAAATCTGTATGTCATCCCCATGAGCAGTGTCATGCATCCACACTGACTTACCCCCGACAGTGTCCGGTGAGCCGAGATACTGGCCGTTTTCGGTGCTGACGAAAGTAGTCCGGCAAGTTGGCTGGGGACTGTTTAATAAAGTGTTTTTCTTCTCAAAACAATATGTGTTCAAAAGAGTGATACATTTGCATCACAAAACCATCGTCACCTAAAAAGTCAGACCTCATTATCGCTTGGCACTATTTTCTTTCCGTTCGTATCACTGCTGTATCACTGCGGCTGTCACCTGGCGGCCGCACAAATCCATCACTTTCTGCAGTTGTTTGGCAGTGTTTACATGCGCAGACCACCGCGACGTGAGAGAGCTAACGTGAGAGCTAGAGCGATAAGTATAGAAGCTTGTATAAGATACATAAGAATATATCTAAAAAATGGTGCGAACTCTTGATTATCCAGGCTGTAACAACAAAAATCTGGCTGAATGTCCACAAACATTTCACCGTTTTCCTGTCACGGACTTTGCGCTGAGGAAACTTTGGCTTCTTGCCTTAGGTTTCAATGTGGAAACCAAACCAGGTAAGAACGAAGAAGTGCCGCTATGTTTACAAGAGGACAGGCTCAAGAATCAGCTACTAACCCTGTGTGCAGTAAATCACTCAGTGTCATATCACCAGTGAAGCTTCTACAAAATGTAACTTTATAAGTCGACTGTTATTACTATTGTAAATGTCACGTACACTGTTGGCAGCAGCTACGTGGACGTGTGGATGATTCGGTTTCTATTAGTAGTCCATGCTTCAGTCACAGTGTAGGCTCTATGTTCGCTGTATACAAGTTTATAAATGACGTGATGGTGATTGTCGCTCACTCGGTCTCTCACGGCTCCAGCTGTGGCTCCAGCTTCAACTTGTACCACTTCTCTGTCTCTCTTCTCTCTCTGGCCGTTCTAACTCCATCTGGCGAAATTCAGCATCAGTATATTTGGGTTCACAAAGATTTCCCCTTGGCTTTGTGGTAAAGGCAAAGTCTTTATTGTCGGTGTCGTAATCAGACATGTTGTTGCTAACATTCCGAGCAGTAAACAAAGTGAACCAGGCGCGGCTGTCACCTGGCGGCAGCGTGCAGTGATACGAACGGAAAGAAAATAGTGCCAAGCGATTATGAGGTCTGACTTTTTAGGCGACGATTGTTTTGTGATGCAAATGTATCACTCTTGTGAACACATATTGTTTTGAGAAGAAAAACGCTTTATTACACAGTCCCCAGCCAACTTGCCGGACTACTTTCATCAGCACTGAAAACGGCCAGAATCTCGGCTCACCGGAAGCTGTCGAGGGCAAGTCAGTGTGGATGCACGACACTGCTCACGGGGATGACATACAAGTTTATGTCAAAAATTCTGAACTATCCCTTTAAATTCACCTGCTGGAACAATGATTTTCATGAATATTTGTAATAACTTATTTCATATCATAAATTGCTCAAACTTACTAAGCACACAGAACCTAATTAAAAGTGCCACATTAAGAATGCACTGTGTTTGCACACACTTTTACTGACAGATGAATGACAGTTTCCACATGAACCACACAAGAGAAAGCCATTGTCTCCCCTCTCACAGAAATGTTCACATGTGGTGGGCCTGTTGGATGCCGTCGCCGCAGAAACAGATGGAGATAAGGGCCTTGCTGCAGTAATGTCAGTCTGCAGCCAAATGGATAAACCTGGAATAAAACGCCATGCCAGGGTTTTCAGCTAGAGATAAGAGCGTTAGTGCCTCTGATCTGAGACAGACAAGGCTGAGGTATCGCTGAGAGCTGGAGAAGAGAAGAGCCTGATGGTGATTCAGGGAGTTGATTTTAGATGGATCACATTGACATCAACCACTAACTAGACAATTACTACACAAAAATGCCCTCATAATCTAAATAAATTTAAATAAAATTCAGTGACTACTTCCTCAGGTGATCGCCAATTCATTGGAGCCCACATCAGCAGAGTAGCACAGTTAATGGATGCAAGCAAAGACACTCCTCTTTCAGGTGATGTGACGACAAAACTCACTGGTCTCAGAAACGCACTCACTGTGTAAATAATAATTGTAATGATTCAGATCATGTCTGCAGCTTTGCGAAGAGGTGCACTCAAATAGGTGCACACTGCCCTAGCCTAATACATACACCAGAACTAAATGCAACTTGCTTTCAGTCACTAACATTACAAACCCACTTCAATCCTCACAACAATTGTCAGGCATATCACCATCTCATCACAAAGCATCTCCAAGAGGCAATTGTGTGTCTGTTTGTTCGGCAGAGGAGGCATAGAAAGAAGGAGCAGAGAAGAGGAAAAGTGTAAATCTAACATAGGCCGTGTGGCAGAGCCCCCAGGATCAAATCCAATTCTGTGGAGATACACATTAAGCCCGTCAATCAGCGCAGTGTCCTTGGGAGGCGGCGGAATGGAGATGAGAGACAGAGGGGGGTCTCTTAGCCCTGAAAAGCCTGGACACAGACATTTAGACACACAGCAGTGAAGCTGCCGCTGCAAGAACCACTTCACTCAGGGAGGCCATATTTAAAAGCAACAGCAGAGCTACAGTCACAGTCTCTACACTACAGTAACTTTATTGAGTGGTACAGGACAACACGGGTCACAACATGTAGCATTAGACTGGAAATTTCTCTGAAAACATAGATTTCCTATTATGCTTGCCCTTGAGAAAAAACAAAACATGTTTTCAGTACTGTATCACAATACAGCATCCCATATCGATACACAAAGAGCCAAGATGCCTGATACAATACCCTATATATTGCCATAGCAATATACGAGCCCTAAGTGAGAGTGCATTTAGTATTCCCCTCCACATAAAGTGTATTGTAAAGCAGCACTGTGTGTTGTCTGCATCTAATTATAAAGCAATTTATTGATCTCAATTCTGGGGGGGGGTGTGTAGGCTAAACTGTGAGGGTCCATTCTGTTGCTACCCTATTTCCCACAAATGTAATCATGTAAACAGCTGCCAAATGATTTGCAAGAGATGGGGACAAATTAGTGTGGTGATTTAAACTATTTAAACTACCTACCTCCTCCTTTCATGGTTTGAAAATCAGATAAACCTGGTTCAAGTTCTCCAGAACTGTTCAGGCTCTTTAGCATCACAATAGCACAGCTATGATTACACCACAAATCAAACAAACTGAATTTTTGAATGTAGACTTAGCTTTTTAAACCTAACATTTAAAAAGGGCTTCACAATTTTGAAGTTTGGTTTTATTTTTAAACACACAACTTTTCTGGCTGCTTGGTGTCCACTAGCCTGCACATCTCCTCAGACTCGGTGGTCTAATGATGTGTTAATGTCATGATTGAACTGCTGCGGATGCTTGTCAGTGGTGGAGCTGCAGGGAGGCCCCAGAGCAGCCCCTTTGATGTGGGGGATAATTACTTGTGTAGTTAAGATAATTAGCAAAAGTCCAGAATAAAACGTGAATAGGCTAAGTGTCGCTTCCCCTGCGCCTCAGTGAACTCACGCTGAGAGACAAACAGCATGGGACAGACATTCTGCGCTTAAAGGTAAATCAGATTTTCAATTTAAATATGTGGGTTCTGGAAAGTCATATTTAATATCAAGCTTGTGTTTTACGTACCTGTTTACCACATTGCCACATTACCACATATACAAATGTCCATAAATTTTCCATGAATTAAATGCTCCACAGTAATTTCATTAAACTTATCTCCATGGAGACAAGCAGGTGACACCACCAGGCTAAGTTACAGATCAGATTTTTTAATGAAAAGAAAAACCACCAATGAATGCAAGATCCAAATTTGCATCATCAGTCCAACATAAAACTATTACACTAAACTAATGCTTGGTTGTGCTTCCCTCTCTGTATGAATGGGACACTGAGGCTGAGCTGGGATGTTTGTGGAACTAATTACTTCAAATATTGTGGAAAGGTGTTTGAAAATAAGCCGCGGTTTGATGCCCTCTGAGGCCATTAGAGTTTTCTTTTTTTGGATTCATTCAGCTTTTCTACTCACCTGTTTACAAAGTGGTTTTAGAAACGCTTTTCTTCATTCCAATCAATGAATATTAAGGCCAATGGTGCTGAGAGCTGCCAAGAAATAACTGCTGATGTTGCATTGTAACCCTGGAAAATAAACAGAATTAATGACTTTATATAATTTACATTTTCAATTTTAGGATATTTCCCCATTGGTCAGTCATTGTCATGCTCTGAGTGAGTGACAAGCACAAATACAATGACTATGAAATACAGACTCTCAGAGGAGGCTATTATCTTAAAAGTGGACATATAACGATCAAGTGAGTCATAACACATCACTGAAATTTAACCTAATGATAAATCTATGAAGATTTAAGATGCTAAATGCTAGTAATTAACATTCATTCTTTCAACACTATTGGTGTTGTCAGATCTCATATAGTATTTTGAATGTGTATATCTGAGCTGCATGTATATTTGAGAAATCTTGTACTGCCCTGCATTTGAGTGTTCAGAAAATTTCACCTATGCCTTATCTCCGACCACAGATCTGTATACTTCCTTGTGATTATTCAAAAAAACTTTGGGTCATACATGGTATAGTATGGGTAAATGTAAAATGTAGCCATTATTCAACATGAAGAAAAAACAATAAAAAATCCACTGCTTGCTACAATGAAATGGCACTACATGGGGTCAGTGCCGCTCAATACAAGTTCAGCAATTTTAGAAATAGTGACCCCTGCTCTGAAAAATGTGATTACTTTTTTGCCTTATTGCCCCTGCCATTTGGAAAACATTCTTTTATTGGATTATTACATCAAATTATCTGATAAATCAACAGTGTAGCTAAAAATGCTTTTCTCATTACCATGGATCCTGAGATGCGAATTGTTGCAAATAATTGGGTCATTTGGCATCTTTAATAACAATCTAAGAAGAATCTCTGTAGAAACATGTGACTGAGGGAAATTTACATTCATTTAAATTCCTTTGAAGTTGTTTGTTTGGCTCACCTTGGAAACACACCATTTCTACTTCCCCTCTGTGGTAGGAATTAAACGCACCCCATAAATATTTATCTACCCTGGGCGTGCGCTATTCTGGCCCGCTGTTTTTGAACATAACCACTGGAGATTGTGCCTATCAGGGACCCAAACGAAACAAAGATGCAGAGAAGAGAGGAGGGGGACAGGGAGGTGCAGGGTTAGCTAAAAAGATTATATTTTTTGGTGCATCGGCCAAAATGGAAAGTGAATGATGTTTAATGCAGGAGATAGGGAAAGGGTTCAGTGGGAGCTTCTTTAGGTGTCACCACACATATTGGATATTTTTAGGCAAAAAATGTTGAATTTCTGTGTGCACTCGTTATCATTTTCATTTTTAAACCTCAGTGAACCTTCTAAGTCAAAAAAGGGCACGAAGGTATGTGTTTACGTGGGGTGTCTTTTTGGGATTGAGGTTTTTTTTTTTTATAATTTCCTTAAAAGCAATCCACTTCCACTAATCCACCATAATTGTACTGTAACAATACTCAAACTTGATTTCAATACAAATTTATATATATATTTTTTTAAACAGTGTAGTTAGTTACCCACATAAAATGTTACTAGTTTGTTTTCTTATCCCAGTTATGATAAAACTCAAGATCAGTCTAAAAAGGAAAGGTCAAATTTCTCATATTTATTTCAAATTTCAAATGAGTATTTTTAATTTTGATATTCGTTTTATTAACAATCTGTATGTCAAGTATCTGTATATCAATTTGACAGTCCTACACAATAAACTGCCCTATTTTGTTCACTATGAGTCGAATTCACTTTTATTTCCCAATTTTCACATTTTAAACAAAAAAAAGGAGTTAAATTTAGCCGGAATTACTCTCAAGGCCTGACACAGGGTGCAACACACAAGCGATTCTGGCTGTCACCCCTTGACGTGAATCTGCGGAGGAACAGGGCCTAGGTTCCTAATCAGAGCCATGAATATGAAGTATGAGCGCACACACACATATACACAGACACAGACGCCTAACCCAGAGGAAAGGATACTATTGTGTGGGACTGTGACATCTCCTCAATGAACCGCATGACACCTCCAACAGGGGGCGACATCAGTGTCAACCCCCATGCTCATTTGATCGGAGGTAGAAAGAAAGAGGCTATATTTGCCACTTTGCACTTACTTGAGGATCAATAGTACTTCTATTTGTGCAGTGTAGTCCAACCATGTCTTCCACTGATATTGGCACCTCTAATCTATGGGAAAAATTTAACTCGAAGGCCTTTTATTATTTCTGTGGGAATATTAGTCATATTGAGATCAGATATCAGTCCAGATATTGAAAATTTAGTTGGATCGGATATACTGGCTTCCAAGATATCGGTTCAGTCCATACTCTATTTAGGTCTATAAGTTGAAATAAGATGATGCTGCTAGCCAATGTTGGCCCAAATCATCTCATAATAATGACCTTGTATTTTTACAAAGCTGGCTTGTAGTTTCAAAACACAGCTGGATAATTTCTTACCTTATGCCGTTTGTGGTTAAAGTAAATAAAGTTTATTTTTAAGTCTCTACCTTAGATACTGGTGGATATCTGGGTATCGGCAGATAAAGCCAAAGTATCAAGATTGGAACTGAAAAAGATGGATTGGAGCATCCCTAATCCTACTGTTTCAAATTGTTCCTCTAAAGTTAGTCGTCTCTCAGTAAAAGCATGTGGTTTGGGAAAGAATACAGATTTTGAAGTAGACTTTCGTGACACTGATTAAAACTTTGTAAATAAGTTTACAGTAAGGAAAATTTAAATTGAACCCAACATTGGAATTTGGGGAATGTGTTAGACATACTGAACTGCCTGACATTCTTTTGTATTTAATTGATCTATACTGAGTTATAATTATATCAGAATGTATCTCAAACGAACCCAGCTCAAAGCCCTCCCCTGCACCATCAGACCCCTCTGGCCTACCTGTAATCCTGTGCAGACTAACGATCCGGCCCTGAACTCCGTCAAAGTCATCTGACGACACTGATGTGGGGAGATTGATATTCACGCTTGACTCGCCGCCCGCTCCACTTGACTGCCGTGTTTACCTCCCAGCACAATTAGTATCTGCACAAGACAGACAGACAGAGCCAGGAGAGAGGAGAAGCGTGAGGTGCTGCGCAGAGTTTGAGTGACTGCATTAGCGCCAATTGTTTATGAAGAAGATGGGAGATGTCTTTCACTGTGGCTGAAGGTGGCTTTCTCCATCAAGGGGCCATTACCAGCTCATTTAATCCCCATAAAGCCGTTTTACCTCAGTGAAAGGCAGTAAGCTTCAAATAACAACAGCTAGATTGGCTTAAGTCGAATGCATATTTCAACAGTTTCCATCTGAATTTGCATCAAAGACGTGCCCTCCACTTTGGCACAAGGAAACGTTGAACACACCACAGTGATATGACAGGGCCTGCGGAGATACATCAAAAATGGATAATATTGCAGTTGTTTTGGGATAAGCAAAATTAGAATATAAAGTATATAATTTAAAGGTGCACTGGGAAACTTTTTTGGTGGAGGGTCCATCACCTGCTTGTCTCCATGGAGATGTTATTGTTTTGCCTGGATTGTTCCATGGTATGACTTTAAACATTTCCATCTAGCATTTATTCATTAAGCGTGTTTCTTTTGCTCAAAAATACAATAATTCCTGCTGTGAATAGAGCGACTTTCCACAGATCTGAACTGTACTGCAGCGTAGGGCTGTAACCTGCTTGTCTCCCTTGAGATAGATTTAGCTTTAATCTCTGGAACTGTGGAATATTCTAGACAAAGCCCTAACATTTCCATGGAGGAAAGCAGGCATGGTGAATACTCCACTAGAAATGTAATGCAGAGCACCTTTAAAAAATAAAACTATATAAAGTATCGTCCACATATATCTAGCTTGATGTACAACCAGAAGAGATTATAGAGTATTCATCAGCAAACAAACATTGAGCACAAAATGAATTTGTGACAAATGGAAGCTTCTTATAAACCTCAAAAACGGAAAATGCATAATTAGGAATATCACATAAATACAATAAACATAATGTCTAAGTCTCAATTTTAAGGCTTTTTAATTAAAGGTCCTATATTATGCAAAATTGACTCTTGTGAGCTTTTAGGCAAAACATACCTAGAGTTGTGTTTCATTTCATTCACACCTGTTTGAGTAACCTTTTACTAATCTCAATAGATCAAAAAAATTGGCAAACTTTTACCTTTAGTTCAGAGTTCAGTCTTTAGTTTTTAGTCTATCCTACCGTCAATTTAAATAAGAGCTTTTTGGCTAGATAGTTGATATTAATTTTCTAGTCAGATTTTTCAACAAATCTTTAAAAACACAGCATTAAGTTGATGGCTTGATCCTACCTTTTTACGCCTGTACCCAGGCGCTCTTATAAAACGATTATTATGGTCCATGAATGTATATTTTACTTTAACTAAACAGATCTTGTCTTAGTGCAACAATCCAAGTGTAACCGTGAAAAGCAAAGTTAAGAAAGTGGTTTGGCGTGTGGTGTTTGGCGCTAACCAGCAAATCGGGACAAAGATAGCGCCAAATGATGTGCGTCTACAGTGCGATTTAACATTTGACATCATCTGTAATAATCGGCATTATAATCATAGAAAAGCGAGGATGAACATGTCCCATCAGATAAAAATGATACTCACCTGAGCGGGGAGCAGGAGCAGGGAGAGCGGGCTGGGCCTAGGAAGAGAAATAAGATTTTGATTGTATTATTAAAGAACCACAGCGCCTCCCTGAGGGCGCACACGCAAAAACTCGTTTGAGAAATACTCGTGCAGGTTGTGCTTCTTCCTTTTGGGACAGGATAGGCTTCTTTGCATATGCAGTGTATTCTCATCAACAAGACACAATTAGTTTTGACCTACAGGCGGTCAAGGCAACAGTGGGTGTCCTATGGTGTTAACATGTTTTGTTTTGCTTTGTTTTTTTTTTTTTTGTTTATTTTCCCCACATTTTTCATTGGTTACATCAAGGCAAGCCAAATGAGGTGTTTTTATCAGCAGAGATCAAATTTAGTTACTCTTTACTCATGAATGTTGTTAAAAGTCACAGTTTACAATGGATACTGCCCATTTATTTTAATACAAAACAGTCTGCAAAAAATGACAGATGTAATAAAAAAAACACAAGTTCATAATTACAAAATACAAAATAATAATACAAAAGAAATGTTAACAACAGCAAGGTATGGAAGAATTAAAAAGAACAAGGCAGGATCCACCACTGCAATAGTACCACAATCATTGTTCTTGGAGAATAAAGTAATGGAGATACTTTACAATAAGTTAACACAGGCACATCTTGCTATAGCTACAACAAACCAAGTAACAGTCCAATGTCAAACACCTTTGTTGTTTTTGGCAATAGTTTCACACAAAATCAAAATAATTATGAAAACACATTTGATAGCAAACTTTTTGGTTTCTTGAGAACTGTATGTCCCATGTCTACAACATTGACATTATGCATTCGAATAACAAATCATATAAATATATTTAAAAATAGAATGATTTTGGTAGAAAATGAATTTATGCAAGATGGGAGCATATGTTATAAACTTCAATAACTTAAAATACATGAAAATTCAGAAATACAATGATGTAGCCCTAGTCTCAATGTTCAGGCTTTTGCTTTTTTCCATCATAATCAATAACACACAAAGATTCACTCAAAAAGTTTAGTGCCAAAAAGCATCAAGTATAAATACTAAAAAAGTCCTGTACAGTACCCAAATCTGTCAAAACTATAAAATAAGTTAGGCAACTGTAGACATTATTTACAGTCTATATAAAATGTATTTAAAACTTCAAGTGTGAGCCAAAAACCTTCAGGTAACTAGGCAGCTTTCAGTCGTGGTTTTAGGTACGAAATGTTGATTGGTCATTTATCAAGCCAGTACATTGTTTTGTAAGAGCATCTAAAATGTAGAATAATGTGAAGAAGTATTTGTATGTAACCAGGTGAATGGTTTCTAGTTAGTATTTCAGTGTGCATAATTGTAATAGAAATCTTACCTGTCTAATTCATAACTGAGTGTCCACATTATTCTTTTTAGATGCATTTGTAAGCAAACAGCATAATGCCTTTGAGTGTATGGTTGAAGCACAGTTACAAGCCCGGTTTTACTGAGAAAGACACATTCGTTTCAGCAGCAGCCATATTGGCAAGTGGTAAGCAGGGTTCATGAGAGATTGTGGAGAGAGAGCGAGCACCTGGTTAAGCAGGTGTTCAGTAAACATGTGAGTCTCCAATGTACAGCTCTGAACAACAAAGTAAAATGGGAGACCAGTGATGATGAAACTCAGCCTCTGTTAGCCTGTGTGTAAAATACATATGAGAACATCCCTCACAAACCACCAGGCAATGGCAGAAAGTGATACAACATAAAAAGCCTGAAAAATTAGTGAAAAAACGTGTAAAGCCATAATTACAAATCAAGGTTATTCAATAGAAAATGGATTTCTCAATTATGTAATCTAAAAAATGCATTTTGATACACCTTTAGTTCGTATTGTACTTTCTATTCTTCTTTCATATTCACTATAAAATTAAAGGCTCAGGGGTATTTTCCAATTAAAAAGATTACTACTGTAATTTCAAATCAGATTTTGTCCCACTTTAGTTCGGTAAAAAGTTTGAGAATCACTCGTGTAAAGAACAAGGTGTTCTGTCCCACATCGTACACCTATAAAAGATAAAAGCGGATGCTTCTGCAGTGGTCTCTTGTTTTCCCAGAGCTGTAAAACTTAGATAAATGATATTTGGTAAAGGCGAGGTACTGGTTCAGGACATCAGTCCAAGTCACTGAGGTCGCTGACTGGCTCGTCCTGTACAATGCTCAGGTGGTTCATGGCGCGGCTGAAGGCGATCTGGACCGCTTTACGAATGCTCGACGTGCGACCTTCCATCATTTTGATCTTGTCGATGGTCTTGTCTATCCCCAGGGGAACCATCTTGGATCTGGGAAGCCACTGCCTGGAGCGGGAAAACAACATCATGAGCAAAGTGGATTTTTTTTTCTTCCCAAAAGCAATACTGACTTTTAAGGATGAGAACCCTTTCAAGGTGAAAAGGACAAATGCAGGTGCTAGTTCACACTGGATTAAAACCTTTACATGAACTCCTTAATGTGAGTTATTTGGCACTGGCTCAATAATTTTTCTGATGAAATTATGAAGAAAAATCTAGACCTCTGCCAGATAATTACAGTTTAGCTAAGAACAAGTGTTTGTTTGTGAAGATTTTCTCAGTAGTTTAGCTGTTTTTTAGAGTTTTTCAGAGTACTCAGCAGTCTTTAGAACCTCTTAAAAAGGTAAAAAAAAAATTTTTAAACTATTAGCTTCTCCATTCTCCGCCTCCATTCACTGGCTTCTGACGTCCTAGAATCAAATAAACTCCTCTGAGAACCTGAGCTGTTTTTTGCCTGCTGACAATTTATAGCACTTGGCCACCGCAGAATAATGGTGAGCTGATGGACAAGCTGACACGCTCTCCCTTGTAGAGCCAAGTGTGGCCTTAAATCACTCCGGACGACCGGGCACTCACCAGCTGCGCTTGTTGTCAAAGAAGAGCACGAGGTAGAGTTTCTCTTCGGCCTTGTACTGCATCTGCTCCCCGATCCGCAGCACATCAGAGGGAGGCTGTGGGATGGACGCCCTGTTGAGCTGGCAGCGAGGCATGTGGGGGTCGATGATCTGAGCAGCGGGAGAGAGAGTTACACACAGGCATAGTCATACATTAGTATATAAATACAGAAAGGAAATGGATTGGTATGAATGAGTGCTGCAAATACAGTACAAAAAAGGGATAGTTCAAGAGGAAATCAGGAGCCACTGAGCTATTTAAAGAGGCAAAAGATCTACAAGGTCAGCCAGAGCTTTTGATGCATAATAGATTTTACTGAATTTGCCATATCTCAAATACTGCTGAGTGTCAAGTCACATAGTTAGTAAATTGTGAGTTTGCTTCCAACAGAGTAGTGATTGGCATATTGATTAATTTATGTTAAACATGAAACCTTTCATTTTTCTTAAGATAGGGCTTTAAGTATCTGCTGAAACCCGATATCACCCAATACCAGAACAGAGACTAAAAACAGCATTTTTATTTAAAAATAAAAATCCATTAAAAAAAAGAAAAATAGTGTTATGTAGGTGTTATTTATCTATCAAGTAACTACAGAATAACTTTGTGTAATAAAGTTCAAACAATAGAGACTTTCTGGGCCAACTACAACCGTTCAAGTCCAGTCCACCAGTCCTATCAGAATATTGCTTGAATTGATATTAGGACGATATTTGATCCAGCAATTTTTTTAGTATCGACGCCAGTATCTGATACCAGTATCGCACCAGTGCATCTCTAATCCTGATGAAATATGTTCTCCATGCATTCACACCATCAATTATTTACAAACTATATCCCTTTAACAGCACAAATTGTATCCCTCATGCCCCTCCATGCTCAGGTCAATTATACAGTGATAGGGTGCCACCTAGAGGACGTGTTGAATGAATTACACTTTGGAAGGTGAAAATCTAAACTCCTGATGAAATGAAGTGCCATGTTTACGTTCCAAAGTGTCTGACTGTGAAGTGATAGAAAGTCTCCAGAGAAAGAGAACATTAATTCACTGTCATGCATGAGCTCCACAAACACTCACCAGGGCAGGATAGGAAGGGTATCCACTACATTTGGCCCATACTAGCTTTAGGGGTTCCAGTGCAACAGTTGCAGCACTAGCGGGCATCCAAATATTGCTGTTGCCAACCTCTATAGAAGCAGGGACAACACCGGACAAGTTAAGTGTGAGTTTAAACAACACACAAAGTACAGGCACACCTTCAAAAGCCATGCAGTGAGAGCATAGCCAAAGCATAATCAAGCTTAGAAAATCATCATATCCTGTTATGCACCAGTAGAAATGACAAATATATAGGAACTTATTCACACAGTGCCTTGTGTATTTGTTGACTGTTGATTTGTGAGACAGTAGCTTATAGTGAGTCAATCAGTTAATCAATCAGCATATATGTAAATTGTAAAATCTGTCTAAATTAAGATAATTAAGATTTTATTTTAGGCATTTTATTTTTTTTTTACCAACGTCACCTATAATCGATTCAAATAATAATAATAATAATAATATTTTTTTTAAATGCAGTAAAAATCCATTATAATGTCAACACACCTGCAGCTAATCGAGCGGCTTTAGCAAAATTCCCAGTTTCTATGCAGGCTATTAATTCACTCTTGTCGTCCACAGTGTGTCTCCGGACCAAGGCGGGTTTTCCCTTCCCACATTTTGGAAGACTGAGAACCGTGCTAAATGTAAAACAACACAAGTAAAAGTACAATAAATCATGTCTTTGCAGTCAGTGGTATTGTGTGTAATTCAGCGCTTTCATCTTCATAGGACTTCTGTGGCTAAATGAAAAACAAAGTGAAACAATTACCTGGTGCTTCCTGGTAAACTGCTGCAGGAGGAGATGGATGACTCAGAGGCACAGCGGCGGCGAGGCTCCACGGGTCGACCGGTTCTGCTGGGATCTGCACGCTGCGTCTGATGCTCCGTCTCCAGGAAACCACTCGACAACCCTGAAAAAGACACACACAAACAATGTATCACACCGCAGTAATCCCCTGCTACTTGTTACACAAAATACAATCCAGAATTCACAGCAGGACAATAACAGAATTCCAGCAGTAATGCAAGGAGATTGGTCACAGGATATTTGGACTCATGCTCTTTGACAATTTCCTGAAAGGCTCTCCTCACTGTTTAACCCCTGCCCCAGAAAAATGTTTTAAAGCAGAACCATAGGCATTCAGTCAAAACTAAAGGCTCATGGTAGCTCCATGTTCAAAATGCATGCAGATATGTGTGGATACTGTTACAACACAAATGCAATGTGAAAATAAAAACTGTCATTGGTGCCTCCATGTTTGTTTTTCTTGGGGGCATTTTTTACTTCCATTTTGGTAAATCTATGAAAAGAGTTTGAGCACCCTTTGCAAGTTACTTAAAAAATCACAGACCTGACATTAGAAAAATGTCCCCAAAAGATCAACCAGGATTAAATTGAAAGCCAGGTTAAAAGAAAATAGTTGAGTACTAACAGCACCAGAAAGCCAGATTTGCGTATTCTATACTATTTTATACAGGACTAACCATGTTTCAGCCGTCACTTGATTTTGGCTAAGAGAACCGACGGCTCACAAGTGATGTTTTTAGTTCAATTTAGCACAGTAAACATGACTGATTAATGTAAGCGAGGTAAAAGCTAATTGTAATGTTTACGCAGTTGGAATCAAGAGCTGCAAGTAGAGCTTAGTAC